CCTAAAATCCTTAGTATCTTCAAAGTAGTGTCATTTTGTGTGCTAATGAGTAGGTAGCCCCTAGGTAGCTTCAGGATAGAGGGTGGCCACTGGCAAGACCAAGGCAGCATTAGAGGGTTAGGGCTTTCAGTCCCAGCCCCCAACCTCCGGGGAGGTAAAAGGGGCTGAAGGTTGAGTTGATCACCAATGGCCAATGATTTCGTCAATCATGCCTATGTAATGAAGCTTCCATAAAAACCCAAAAGGCCTGGGTTCAGAGAACTCCTGAATAGCTGAACACAGAGGTTCCTGAAGGGTGGCATGCCTGTGGAGGGCATGGAAGCTCTGCACCCCTCCCCCATACCTCACCCTGTGCATCTCTTCACCTGTATCCTTTAAAATATCCTTTATGGGGGCTGGCTGGTTAACTCAGATGGTTACAACACAGCCTTGTGACACCAAGGTCAAGGGTTCGGATCCCCATACCGGCCAGCCGCAAAAAAAAAAAAAAAAAAAAAAAAAAATCTATATCTGTATATCTATATCTATATATAAATGTATATATATCTCCTTTATAATAAACCAGTAAATGTCTTCCCTGAGTACTGTGAGCTGCTCAGCAAGTCAATCAAATCTGAGGTAGGGGTCATGGGGACCTCGATTTAAAGCTGGTCGGTTAGGTGTTCCAGAGGCCTGCTTGGGCTTGTGACTGGCATCTGAAGTGTGTCGGGAGCAGTCTTGTGGACTGAACTCTCAACGTCTGGGATTTGACACTATCTCCAGGCAAATAGTGTTGGAATTAAATCTAATTGGAGAACACCCAGCTGGTGTTTCCTAGATAATTGCTTGCGTGGTGGTGGTGGGGAACCCCACATACATTTGGTCACAGAAGTTTTCTGTGTTGATTGTTGTGGTATAAGAGAACAGAAAAACAGTTTGTGGGTTTTTTTTTTTTTGTTTTTTCCCATTCGTAACCTATCTTCTGATCACTTGATTAGATCATTTGAAGTTGTCTTCTATTTTTTTCCACTCTTTCATGTCCCACCTCTAATTAGTAGTTTACCTTTATTAATTCTCCTTCTGTATTTGCCAGTTTTCATTAGATTATGCTATGGTAAGAATAAATCCCCCCAAATCTCAGTGGTTTGCAACACATAGTTTTATTTTTTGTTCAGGTTATATGTTGGCTGTGGGTTGACCACAGCACTGATCTGCTCTATGTGTCTCCTTCATTCCAGGATCCAGGTTGAAGAACAGCCCCAATTTGGGATATAGCAGAGGAAAAAAAGAATGGTAAAACTAGGAATAGCTTTTAAAGCCTCTGTTCAGTCATGGTGCAAATCAATTCCATGCACATTCCATTGGCCATAGCAAATGACATGACCAAGTCCCATGTCAATGGGTTGGGAAAGTATGTTCAAGTATCTGGAATCCATCGTACCATCTATCCCATTTCATATCTCAGTTGCATCCTTTATTTCAATTTCTTTTACCCCTGCCTTAAAGTTTACTTCTTTCAGCTTAGAATCCACTTCCTCAGGAAAGTTTTCCTGATACTGTCAGAATAGGTCATACCTACCGCTATCAGCTGTCGTGGTACTTGTGCTTCTTCATGACACATGGTACAATTGCAATTATTTATGCACTTATTTAATTTCTGATGTTTCCACTAGACTGCAAGCTCTATGAGAGCAGAGACAGTATCTATTCTGCTCACCATTTGATCCCTGGCACCTAGAAGAATGTCTGGCATATGGCAGTGTTCAATAATTATATGTAATTGATTGAATGCCTTAGTCATGCCCAAGTCATCCTCCTCTGGATTATTGAAAGAACTTACCAGTAGTTTTTGACATCTAATTTATCCTTTTGCCATCAAGGTCTGCTTCTGAAAGACTTACTCTTTTCATATCATCTATTAGTCTTTCAGGTCAGCCTACCCTTATGAAGTTTCCTGAATGTTTATGCTTTCCCAGACCTCTGTCCTTTCCCTATGTTGTTCTTTCTGTTGAATTCCCTCCCCTCAGTGCTCTGCCTGATAAAATCCTATTCATCTTGTAAATCTCAGCTCTGAGGCTTCCTCCTCTGCTGAGCTTCCAATGACTCTCAGAGTGGACGTGGGCACTGATCCCTCTGCTTCCACATTTTATGTGCTCCATTTTAGCAGTTATCATGTTGTGCTCTAATGGTTTGTGTGCCTCTACTAGACTAAGCTCCATGAGACCAAGAGTAATATTTTATTGGTCTTTATGTTATTCAACAGTTAATATGGATCCTTGCACAAAGCAGATGCTCAAAAATTGCTTGTTACAACTTTGCAAGCTATAGTTAACAAAGTAATGCCTCATCTATCCAGAAGCAGCAATCAAAACTCATGTAAACAAATTCCATCCTCTTCAGGCACAGACAAAACTTCAGCCTTCCAATCAGAAACTACTTACTTTTATTATACACCGAATCTTAAACGCGGTTTGTGGTTTTTCAGTGCACATTAGAGAAAGGAGAGAGGGACTTCTAAACAGAGGCCTAATGACAACAGCAGGAAGTGGCCACTGATGGCCTGTCAGTAAACCCGTAGAAGGCACCTGGCACAGCAAACATGGGTACCTTCCTGTAGCAGCTACAGTCTTGTTTCCCAGGCTAGGACCTGCTTCCCACAGCTCCTTCCTACAATTCTGAGCCTGGAGACAGTCTCAGATCTGGAAAAAACAAACACATTCTTCTCAGCTTCTCAGGTTTCCCTCCTACCTGAAGGGGAGCAGGGAAGACTCTGAGCCCCTGGTTTCCTGATGATGAGCCCAAGGAAAGGATGACTTCCTCTACTGGGCCGCTATCTTCTTCCTTTCTTTGGTGGCAGCAGCAGTCTTGGCTTGGATTTGATTTCTCAAGGAAGCAAAGTGTACAGTCCACAGTGAATTTTTGCCCCATCACACATTGGTAAAACGGTGGTTCTCCAACATGAGCGTGATCAGAATCACTGTAGGGCTTGCTAAGCCAGAGGTTGCTGGCCTCCCCAGCAAAGTTTCTGATTCAATAGGTCTGGGTTGGGGACTGGACTATCTGCATTTCTTTTCTTTTCTTTTTTTAAAGATGACCGGTAAGGGGATCTCAACCCTTGGCTTGGTGTTTTCAGCACTACGCTCAGCCAGTGAGCCAACCGGCCATCCCTATATAGGATCCTAACCTGTGGCCTTGTTGTTATCAGCACCGCACTCTACTGAGTGAGCCACGGGCCGGCCTGGATGATCTGCATTTCTAAAAATTCCCAGGTGATGCTGATGCTGCTGGTCTGGACTTAAGAATCACTGGCCTAAACAATGGAACTCTGGCAAGATCACAGTGAAAAACTGATCAAACAAAAAAATACAGAATATTTCATCCTTGATCAGGCACTTCTTGCTTCATTTACACAGGTGCCTGCATTTTTTATTTTTCTAATGAAGACTTGTGACTTGATAATTTCCACTGGTGGAACCAGTTGAACTGGATATTTACTAAGATCAAATAAACATTGTTACACACTATATAAAAACAGATTGTGGCATTCTAATTTCCTTGCAAGGGCAATTCTCAAAACCTACTCTCTCATGGATCTATAGCACTGACTCATATTTAGACCAAAAGCACTCTAAGCATCAGCACATCTAAGCTCTGTTCCCTGCTGTCACCACATCCCACCCCCTATCAACAAACTTTACAGTAGATATCAGAATTTCTTATTAAACCATTGAGTAGTTGCTAAGGAATCATATAAATCAACTTCAAAATTAATTACCTAATGATAGTCCCCAATGTTAAATAACATATTTATTGAAAAAATGTTAACAATGGGGAAAATCGATGAAACATCAAAAAAAAAAAAAAAAATTGAACACAGTTGCAAGAAGACCAACATTGGTGTCTTTGGAGGTCTGTAACTTGTGTCCTCTGTGCGACTCAGTGATGGCCTTGCAGCTGGAGCACTGTCTCTGTGCAGCTGTAATATGAAAGAACCAAGGTGGTTGACTTTGATTTTAAACCAGAATTGTCACTGATAATGTGGAGACCTCCCATCATTCCCTTAGCAAGACTTGGAGAGAAGGACGAATTATATTCAGTGAATTTATATTTCACTGATGCTGAAACATCAAACATTAAAACCTGTTTTGTAGTGCAGCATCTCTGAAATCCTGATGCATTTTGCACTGGATGGCGTTTCATGAACATGGTTGGCCAGGTGGTAGTCGTGATGTGGTGTCCTCTGTGGGTTGGGATGGCTGAAGTTTGACCCTATGCCCAAGCCCCCATTATCGAAGTCTAGATTAAAGCCTAACGCTGAGTCTAGGGGAGGGAGGGCAGGAAAGCACTCGAAATTGCAAAAGTGCCCCACTGGAGAGTGGGCGGCCCAGGCTGCATGGGAAGGTCGCCGAGCTTGCCCCTGCAGCATGATAAGGTCTTCCTGCTCCAGCGACAGCAGCGAGTGCTGTCAAACAAATAGCGCTCGGCTTCGGAAGGACCGAAGGCATTTCTCCTGCGTGAGCACGGGCGTCCCACGCGCGGCGCAGCCAAATCGGTGAAAGCTCCGCCGGAGTCCAAAGGGGTCTGGGTCCTTCTGGGTTTATTTTTCATTTTTGCCAGAGCGAGCTCTGGCGATCTTGGCACAATCCGGGGGCGCCTGCGAGTCTGAGCTGGGAGGTGGGCGTGGGCAGGCTTAGGCAGAAACATCAAGGCCTTTGCCACCTGCTCGGAGCAGGGGAGTCCTCAGGCGTCGGAAGCCGTGTCCCTACCTCCGGGCGCCCCCCGGACCCCTCCTCCTCCGCGGACCCCGCCCCAGGTTGGGCGTGGCCGGAGCGCTGCCCGCCCCTCAGAGGCGGAGCCAGGGGAGGGGCCTGTGAGTGGTCACGTCCAGCAGGCGGAGCAGCGCAAGGGGAGGCGGTCTGGGGAGGCGCCACATCCGGCGGGTACCCGCTGCTCCATAAAGCCGCCGTCGCCGGAATTTTGCCTCCAGCTACAGCTCCAGGCTCTTCTCGGCTCAGGAGCAGCTGCTTCAATGCCCCAGAGCGGCCATGGGCGCCCCGCACTGGTGGGACCAGCTGCGAGCTGGCAGCTCGGAGGTGGACTGGTGCGAGGACAACTACACCATCGTTCCTGCCATCGCCGAGTTCTACAACACGGTGCGGGTCGCGGGAGCGGGGATGGCAGGCGGGAGGGGGCTGACCCCATGCGCCGCAGCGCCTGGAGGCTGGACGTGGGTCCCTGCGTGTATCTGGGGTGTTCCCTCTCCGGGACCAGAGTCGTTCCACGCCCCCTCCTCTGCGCGCTCCTTTCAGTTTTCCATCTGTCCTCCGCTCCTGTCCCTACTCCTGACATCTGGGCTCAGGCTCATGCTCCTTCTGTCATTTCCTTCTGTTGACCCTATTGTTTGTCCCCACTCGTCCCGGAGCCAGGGGTCTATGTCAGCCCGTTCTCCCAGTTTGAGTCACTTGGGGGCGGTGAACCCGCCGGGACAACTACTTTCCTCCCCTAGGATTTCTGTGGCGTGACGCACTTGGGTCGCATTGTGCGTTTTTGCCCTGAATACCTGCTCTTGGAGTACTGGGGGGGTAGGGGGGGAGCAGCGGTGAAACCCCATCCCACCCCATTACGCTGACTCGCCCCACCCCAAGAATGTACCGATAGTGGTTGAGTTATTTATGACTCGAGTCAAGTTAATTACTACTAGTTCTTTTTTTCTTTTCAGCGACTGGCAGGTACGGGGATCCGAACCCGTGACCTTGGTGTTACCAACACCACAGTCTCCCAAGTGAGCTAAGCCGCTCACCCCCGGTCCTTTTTTTCTTGCCTTTGATGTCTAGTCTCATGCCAGCCCCACATTCACCTCCCCCAGGCCTGTGCTCTCTCCAGTTCTTCAGTCTGGGGAGTGAAAGGGAAGTCTGGGAGTGATAATGTGCTGGTTTTCTGGACTTGCCCTAGATATGGGCAAGCAGAAACTTCCCCACTGCAGAATCCTTGTGGGAGGAAAGGTTGCAGTTGGGAGAGGAAATGCGTCTTTCACTGTGTCCATGGCTGGAGATTCTGGTACTGCATGTAAGACTTTGCATGGTCGTTTCTGTGGCTTATCTTTTCATTGCCCAGACATGAAAAACAGGAACTCCTGGTTCGAGTTACTGTGAATTTGAGGTTACTTAGGATTTTTCCCTTTGGATTTATTGGAGAGAACATCCTTGGCAGGAGACAGGTGCATATTGCCTGTAGGGATCTCAGATGATCAAGTCCCTGTCCTTTTATTCATATGATGAGAAAACTGGGTTCATGCTCACATTTCTGGCATGGCTGGGGCCACAATCCAGAAGTCTACACTCTCCCTCCCCTCAGTGCTGAAACCCATGGCTGCCCTCCACACAAATACTCCTTCTTTTTCACACCCAGGCTAGTTCCTCAAGAAAATCTGGCCATAGGATAGTGTAAAAGATGAAGTTAGTTGAGGTGGCTGCACCTTACCTATTGTACAGCCTCATAGAGTATGCTATCAGATATGGACAGGTGCACAAGAAGGTGGGCTGGAGCGGTGCTGGGTACTTTCAACTAGGAGAAATACCAGGGGTAACTCATCTTCTCCATTTGTAAGTGGAAAATGCAATGAAATACTAAGGATTTCACCAGCGTTAAAGTAGAAATGACAGCCTGGTGACACCTATCAAGGTAATTATCTGTGAAGTCTGAGGCTCGCAGAGAGACAGGCTGGTGACACCTATCAAGGTAATTATCTGTGAAGTCTGAGGCTCGCAGAGAGCGTCAGTTCTAGTTATTTGGGCCAAAAAAGCTAGTGTATCACTGCTCTGAGCCTGCTTTGCAAAGCCCTAGAGTGCTGGATGAGGGGAGAGTTTATTTTATCTTTGCTGTTAATCTAGTCCCATTGGAGCTGTTATGTGGTGAGTGCCAAAGTCTTTTTTAGAAATGAACTGTTGATCTTCAACTGCAGAGTCTGTGGCTGATTAGCTCAGCTGGTCCATCTGACAAACCTTATTCCTTGGAATGCTCGTAAACCACAAAATTTGCTTTGGCAAAGCGGAGAGCTTAAGGTCTTAGAGAAGTAGTTGGTCACCTAATCTTGTTGAGTGTAGGTCCAAAGAATTTAGCAAGAACCATTTCTTCCCCTCTGTTCCCACCGCCCTACTTATCTTCTGATGCTTATCACAGGACATACCAGTGCTTATTTTACTCCTATATTAAGGAAGACAGTGAACTATCACTTGGTGATAAACATCTTAAATCTTCATAATAAGTAGCAGGTCTAATTATCCATTTTATAAGAAGCTAATTATCATTAGCAATTTTGAGAAAAAGTTAAAGGAATTGATGATGTTAAATCAGGAGAGGACTGGGAGAGGGATCTAGAACCTTCTTAATGGGTTTCAGGGGTAGCACATCACTACTACAACTTCACTTACTACTGGCTATCATTCATTGTTTGCTGTAGGTCGAAGCTCTGCTGGCTATTCTATACTTACCCTAGGCAGTGGGTGCTATTTATTACATGTATTTGATAAAGGAGGAAATTGGGGCCTAAGTAGTCTATGTAACTTGCTGAGGTCAAGAAAATGACAGAGCTGGAGTCAGAACTTGGTCCATTTGACTCTACCAAAATAGTTCTCTTGAAGATCTAAGTGCCACTGTAACTTATTTAGATTTATTTATTTGGCATAGAATAAGTATTTATTATTCAGTTGTTCTTTACCTTAAAACTCCTATATTGGGACCATTTTGTCTATAGGATAAAACTCATGATATTTGATATATAAAAAAAGTTTGTTTAACGTAGTTTTTCATTATTGTTGTTTATTGTAGAAGTAAAAACATAATCGTACTAAAAAATTAGAGTGTGGAAGTTATAAAGGGAGAAATACCCTTTCCAGACATTTTCTAGGTATGTAGAAAGCATGTGCATTTGTGTGTGTGTATAAAATATGTATGTATTTTGTATACATACACACTCAAAGTTTTTTCAACTCAACTGAGATCATACCCAAACTCTTCTGCACCTTGCTTTTTTCACTTAATACGTCTTGGAGATAGTCCCATATTGGCTCATATAGAGCTGCCTCCCTCTTTACATTGTCTATACAGTACTACATTTAATGGATTGACCATAATTAATTTAACAAGCCAACTCCTTAGTTGTGGACATTTAGGGCAGTTTCTGTTTGTTTCACTGTTTTCATTTTGGTTTTTGAACAGTGCTTCAGTGAATATCTTTATACATGTATCTGGATATATTTTTGCAAGTGCTAGTCCTAGATGGGGAATTGCCATGTCAGGCAAAATATTCACTTTACATGCTGATAATTATTGCTAAATGTCCCACCAAAGAGAGTACACTGATTTAACTTCCACTGACAATGTTTGGGTGTACAAACATTTCTTTTGGGCTATGCAAATCATCTTGCCTCAAATCTTGTTCTTATCCTTTGCTTCAGCCAAGTTCAAATAAATCTTCTGGGCCGGCCCGGTGGTGCACTGCTACAGTGCGCCACTTGAGAGTGCGGCGGCGCTCCCGCCAAGGGTTCGGATCCCACATACAGACCGGCCGCTCACTGGCTGAGCGAGGTGCGGGCGTAACACCGAGGGTTGCGATCCCGTTGCCGGTCCCGGTCCGGTACGGGCGCGACACTGAGGGTTGCGATCTGTTGCCGGTCACGAAAAAAGACAAAAAGGAAAAATAAATAAATAAATAAATCTTCCAAGAACACGTAATTTTCTCTCACAGCCTTTTACTCATTCACATTTTGTACAGTTTCTTCTCTGTACATGTTTATTGAGTTGAATTCCTTTTTATGTTTTAAGTTTTAAGCCCTGTTTGGAGGAAAAAAACCACCAAAGTGTTTTTCCTCTGCTCTTACAGCACAACAAGCAACACAGAAGACAGACTGCTGTGTCCAAATGTGGGGATTTCTCCCCACCAGCAAGCAAGCAAATCAGTTCTCCAGTGGACACCAGCTGCGTGTCCTCCAATTCAATTCTGGCACTATTTACCTGGAGATAGCATCAGATCCCACAGGCTGAGGGTTCAGTCCCCAAGACTGCCCCCCACCTCAGAGGCTAGTCACAAGCCCAGGCCTGTGGAACTTCTCACCAACTAGTTATAAATTGGTGTTGCCACAACTTCCTCCTTAGGTTTGATTAGTTTGCTAGAGTAGTTCACAGGACTCAGAGAAACACTTACCTTAACTGGTTTATTACAAAGGACATTTTAAAGGATACGAAGAAATAGCCAGATGAGGAAATACACAGGGGGAGGTCTGGAAGGGTCCTTAGTGGAGGAGCTTCCTTTCCCCTGGAGTTGGGATGCTGTACACTCCCAGCACACGGATAAGTTCAGCTGTCCAGAAGCTCCTGAATACTGTGTTCTTAGGTCTTTTATGGAGACTTCATGGGATAGGCATGATTGAAGCATGGACAACCATGTAGAAATGTGATTGGACAGAAGGGGTATGATCTAACTCTGACAGACTGGGTGGGGAAACCCAGCAAGGCCTGTCTGTTCAGATTCTTCTTGGCCTCTCTGTGCAGCCTTCCTTCCTCCTGGGCATGGGGCAGGACCCTCTCGGAATAAAGGTCTTATGACTTACAGTCAGTGGAGTGGGCCAGAGAGTTCAGGTAGCCACAAGGGCTTTGCCGACCTAAGGTAGGTCAGAGAATTTCCTGCCTCAGGAATAAAGTGGAGTAGATGAAAGGTGAACAGGAGAAGGTCAGAGAGCAGCATGAGCCAGGAACTGTGGATGAAAACCAATACATAAATACCGTGATGTCACAAAGTTACAGTCACATAGTCCTAGCCACTTTGGAGAAAAGTTGGGTTTGCCTTTTAACCACTGGGCTTGGCCTTTGGGGACTCCATTGCTGGGCAGTGACTCAGGAAGACAGAAGGAAATCAACTGGTGCTGAAAAACATGTTGAAGCAAAATACATGCGTAAAATCAGCCCAGATCTGTCACCTCCCCCCACTAGCCCCCAGTCATCAAGATAAGGAAAGTAGAGCTCTCTTTATATGACAAAGTCCACCTCCCACTATCTATAGAGCATGTCTGTCTGTCTGTCTGTCTATCTATCTATCTATCTATCTATCTATCTATCTATCTAAGCATTTACTGGGCAATTACTGTGGGCCTATCAC